AGCAAAACTTAAATTCCAGTTCATTAAAGTCCGGTTTGTTCAGCTGTTACTTGATTTCACTGGCTGTGTTCACAATGTCGCTTCAGCGCTTCAGGAGGAGAACATCTACATCTCTGAGCAGCAGAAGAGATTTCCAAACTTCTTGTCCACATGGGCATAAGTGTGTTTGATTGTTCATCCATGAATCGGCACTTTATTCGTGTATCAGCAGGCAGACGGTGCAACAGCCTCTGGGCTGAAACAAACGATCACAAAAGGAAAACCAAGGGAACAAAAACCTGGCAAATGTTCTGACATTCACACACAAACTGTAACATTGGCTGTACAAAATCAGATGTCTTGCTCTCCTGCATTTAAAACAGACTTAAGAGTCTAATAATTCTGAACAAAGCTACAGTACAGGTGTGGCCAAAACCCAGTGTCCAGCTGGTCTCTGCCGCCACCTGCTGGACACTGGGCTCCACTGTAACGTCTCATGCTGGTGTGAGAAGCAGTCTCTCCATGGTCCAGGCCGACTCTTATCATCAGACCCTAAAAGCAACAACAGCCAAAGATTCATCATGTTTAATTTCCATCCAGAATATCTGAGGCTCCTTCAGAGGTCAGAGGTCAAAGTGGAGCTGTGGAACATAACCCGATTCAACCGTATCAGACGATGTAAATGTATCACAGTGTAATGTGCACCTGTGCAGTGGTGGACAGGAAGTACACACTATACTATGTACAGTACTGTGTAAAGGTCTGAGGCCTCCATTAGATTTGTTTTGTTAGCAAGGGTATGATGATTATATACAGTGGGTACGGAAAGTATTCAGACCCCCTTAAATGTTTCACTCTGTTATATTGCAGCCATATGCTAAAATCATTTAAGTTCATTTTTTTCCTCATTAATGTACACACAGCACCCCATATTGACAGAAAAACACAGAATGTTTGACATTTTTGCAGATTTATTAAAAAAGAAAAACTGAAATATCACATGGTCATAAGTATTCAGACCCTTTGCTCAGTATTTAGTAGAAGCACCCTTTTGAGCTAATACAGCCATGAGTCTTTTTGGGAATGATGCAACAAGTTTTCACACCTGCATTTGGGGATCCTCTGCCATTCCTCCTTGCAGATCCTCTCCAGTGCTGTCAGGTTGGATGGTAAACGTTGGTGGACAGCCATTTTCAGGTCTCTCCAGAGATGCTCAATGGG